TTCGTGAGCAACGTCTCGCAAATTCACTCTAGTGCGGGTGTGCCTGTATCGAATGTGATGCGCAGGTGAATTTAGACTCGGAATAAGCCCGAGGCAGCACAACCAGAGACAGCAGCAACAGCAGCGGAGGTTGGTGGGCGTGTTCACAGTGCGGTCGAGTGCGGTTGAGAACGCGGCAGCTGAGACCAACGTGACGGACGAAGGGAAGCAGGTGAGAATCGGGGCAGGTGAGGGGTGGGGCAGGTGAGAGGAGGGGCGGGCGGGAGATGGGGTCGGTTAGGGGCGGGCCACAAGCTCATTGTAAAAAAAAAACAAATAACAAAAAAACCATACACGTGCACTGCCACGTCACTTCCCATCAACCTCTCCTCACACCAACCCTCGTTTTCCGCCGCTCCCCTCCTTTCCCCCGCCCTCTCCCCCCAGCTGCAGCAGCGGAAGGCGGAGTGGGCGCGGGTGCGGGGGGTGGCGGAGAGGGGCGCAGTGGTGCGCGGGCGAGTGGTCTCCGCCAACGCGGGGGGGCTCATGGTGCGCCTGGGCCCGCTGCAGGCGTTCCTGCCGCTCTCCCAGCTCGACCCCTCACGTCTCAGAGGGACAGGTGAGTGAGTTCGAAGAACTCTTGAGCCCACAGGAGTAGTAGTGGAGGGGGGAGGAAGGGATGGGGGGACTGACGGTGCGCCTGGGCCTGCAGCAGGTCTTCCTTCCGCACTCCCAGCGCGATCCTTCGCGCCTAAGAGGCTCGGGTGAGTGGTTGTGATGCATTCACATGGGTATCTTATCGAGTGGCGAAACGGGGAGCGGAGAACACTCGAAGTGGAACATTTGAGGCAGAAAAATTATGAAGTGAAGGGCTCTCAACCCGCTCCTTCCTTCCCTCCCTCTTCCCCCGTCCACACCTCCTCTTCTCCCCAGCAGCAGCGTCACCGGCGCCCAATGTAGCAGATGTAACCCGCGTTCTAGTAGGCAGCATGGTGGTAGTAAGATTCCTGGAGTAAGAATCTAGTAGGCCCGCACACGCCTAGTGGTGTCGGAGAAGCGGGCAGCAGCAGGCAAGGGGCTGCCGCGCGTGCAGCAGGGGCGCGTGTACCTGGGCGTTGTCTCCTCGCTCACTGACTTCGGCGCCTTTGTTGACCTCAAGGAAAGCAGTGAAGGGCCCTCAACCCGCTCCTTTCCTCTCCCCCCCTCCCCACCTCCCTTCTCCCAAGCAGCAGCGTCGCCGGCCCCCAATGTAGCGGACGTAACTCGAGGGCTGGTAGGCAGCATGGTGGGGGTGAGAGTCCTGGAGTTGGACGAAGCCCGAACGCGTCTGGTGGTGTCGGAGAAGCGGGCAGCAGCAGGCAAGGGGCTGCCGCGCGTGCAGCAGGGGCGCGTGTACCCGGGCATCGTCTCCTCGCTCACTGACTTTGGCGCCTTTGTTGACCTCTTTCAACCGGAGGGAGTCAGAGAGGAGGGAGACAAGGAGGGGGGCAAGGGGGGGGAGAAGGAAGGGGACAAGGAGGGCGCGTTTCTGGCGACAGGGCTGGTACATGTGTCTGAGCTCTCCTGGGACCCCGTTCGCTCGCCCGCTGATGTGGTAGCTGTGGGGGATGCAGTCAGTGCGTTGGTGCTGCAGGTTGATAGGTGAGTTCAAGGGGCCAACTCACAATGCAAACGGGCTGGTGCATGTGTCTGAGCTCTCCTGGGACCCCGTTCGCTCACCCGGTGATGTGGTAGCTGTGGGGGATGCAGTCAACGCGTTGGTGCTGCAGGTTGATAGGTGAGCTGAGAGAGTTGCAGAGAGCTCACAGCGCTAAGAGGCTGGGTTGCAGCGCGTGCAGCAGGGGCGCGTGGGAATGGTGGGGAATCAAGTGAACGCCATCTAGCGTAGGTATCGCCTTCATTTCTCATCTATGCATCTGTGCATCCTTGTCTGCCCATGCACGTGGCAGGGAGAGGGAGCGAGTGGGGCTGTCACTGAAGCAGGTGCAGGCAGACCCGCTCCTCGAGACGCTAGACCGCTTGCTGCCCTTCCAACCCGCACCAGATGCCACCTCCCCTTCTGCGTCCGCCCTTGAGGTGAGATCCCTCTGCTGCTTTCAAGCCCTTTCGCCTATCCCTTGCCCTGTGCCCTTTCGCCTACCCTTGCCCTCTGCCCTTGAGGTGTCAGTTCCTTCTGCAACTTGATCTCTTCTCACTTGCTCTTTCCCCCCCATGCTTGCTTGCAAGCTCACACACACATGCACATGCACGCGCACATGGATAAGCACACACATGCACACAGACATCCGCACATGCACACTCACACACACACCCACAGTTGACCTGAAACACACGTTTATTTTGTCCTCCCTTTTTCCCCCCCACCTCCCTCTCCTCCCCTGCCACCATCCCCAGGCGTCCTCTGCTGCTCCCTCCTCTCCCCTCCCCGGTGCCGCCTCACCCCCTGCCCTACCTGGCCTGCTAGCTCTCTGCAACCAGCTCCGGCAGCAACCAGGGTAGGTTGATTCAAACGCCCCCCTGTATATTCCTCTCCTTGGCACCTCCTCCCCTCTTACCCTCCTCTCCTTACCTTCTTTGCTGCCGGGTCTGCTAGCTCTCTGCAACCAGCTCAGGCAGCAACCAGGGTAGGTTGATTTGAGTACCACCTCTCTCCCTGTATATGCCCCTCATTGGCACACCTTTAGCAACTCCTCTCCTCCTCCCCTGCCAGTCCTGCTAGCCCTTGACAACCACCTCAGGTAGCCCAGAGTTGCTGGCTCACTGAAGGGCAGCGCAGATGCATTGAATTAGAGTTGAATCTGAAGTCCAGCTCTAGTGCACTCCAGATTCACCTCTTTCAGTGAGAGTCAGCAACTGCGCAGATGTCATCGCTCCAGCTCTCCCCCTTGTCCCACCACCGATGCAAATTCGACTGTTGAATCGACTCAGGCGTTTCCACTCTCCTCGGCTCTCTCCTACTCTCTCCCGTTCGCCGCGTGCAGGATCGTGTCAGTGACGCTGGGAAGGCAGGCAGTGGAGCGAAGGGTGGTGTCTCAGGACCTAGAGCTCTGGCTGTCCAATGTGAGTAGCGGGGGGAGCGAGGGTGTGACGGAGGGAGGAAGTGGACGGGAAGGTGCATGGAGGATTGGGTAGAACAAACGTGAGGATGAAGGCCGGCAGTGGAGCAAAGGGTGGGATCTTAGGACCTAGAGCTCTGGCTGTCCAATGTGAGTAGTGAGGGAGGGAGAGGAGGGATGGAGGGAATGAATGGGAAGGTGAACAGAGGGTTGGTTGGGACAAACAGGAAGAGTGAAGGAAGGCAGTGGAGCGAAGGGTGGTGTCTCAGGACCTCGAGCTCTGGCTCTCCAATGTGAGTAGTGAGGGAGGGACCGTTGTGTGCCAGCAGTATCAGCCGTATCAGCTGTGTCGTCTCAGCCAGCCATATCAGCCATATCAGCTGTGTCAACTGTGTCAGCTGTGTCTGTATGTTTCACCTCCCTTCTTCACCCCGTGCATCTTCTCCCCTCGCAGGCGCCAGCAGCAGAGGGGCAGTTTGCACTGCTGGCACGAGCAGGCCGACTGGTGAGCTTTCTTTCTTCTGCCTCTTTGCCCTGCTTCGATGTAGAAATTCAGTGCAAGTTATGCAAGTTTGAGTGCTATGCAGTACGTTCAGAAAGTTAAACACAATGCCGCCTGTTTTGGTGTGCCCACGTGTAGTCTCGCTCCACTTGTTTACAGTATACTGCCTTGTCTCTTACTGTACTCATTTGTGCCAACCAACCAACACGCAGGTGCAAGAGGTTCAAGTTGTTGCCACTTTGGATCGGGAGCAAATGAAGGAAGTGCTTAAGCAAATCTCTTAGGGTACTGCTATGTGTAATGCAGTACGTCGCCAAGGGGTGGAGTGGAGTGCTGTGGCGAGGGGGTAAGAGCAGATTGATATTGCGGAGGAGCAGATTGATATTGCGGGTACTGCTATGTGTAATGTGTGGTGCAGTGCGTCGCCAAGTTGAGCTGGTAACTTGTGCAAACTGATGTGTAGTGAGTTATGTATACTGTCAGATTTCTATCTGTCCAGGGCAAGATTTTCAAAAGTGTCCTTTTGCAGCAATTTTACAAGCTACACACCACCAAGTACCGATGGAAAAGAATCCAGCAGCAACAGTCGGTACCGTAATCACCCGGATATAGGACGCGAGCTCGCGAGCTTGCGGGCTTTGATTGAACCTCAAAACCAATCTCCACAGCTCCATACAGTATTTCAGGTCACTAATAATGCCCAGATCTTGCCTTACATTTTGTTGCACCATCCATAGCCTATCATCCCTCTCCATTCTATCACCAAATAGCACTAACAATGCAGCAGCAATACCCCTACTCGTCTACAGGTCAGCTCCCATGCAGAGTACACTATTCAGGGAAACAAGTGAGCACATGGTACCATCACTTCACAGCTGCAATCGGCCATCTGCCATTCTCCTCACCACTTTCCTTCCAACCTTCTGAAACAACAACATCCAGACGCCTGTCTTGGAGCGCCGGACATCAAATGCTAGATCGCACCAGATGCCAGAGGTCAGACAGCTTATTCTGGGTTGACTGAAAGGCCAGCCAAAAGCCAGAAGCATGGTCTTGAGATGCCAGACGTGGCACTCCAGAGCAATCAAGCTGTTTTTCAATCTCACCCCACCACCACCCCTCATCTGTCACTAAACACTATCAACACCAGTGCACCAATACCATATCAGCGCTCGTGTACGAATTAACCCCAGTGGACATCCCAGGGATATACTCCGGCACGTGGTCGTAATCCTCCTCCACAATATCCAGCTGCTCTGTACCCCCTCCGACCGCACTCCACTCCACCCCACCCCTTATATATCACTAAGCACCATCGACATGGGCGCAGCAATATCTGCACTCGTGTACGGATTCACCCCAAAAGACGTGACTGGAATATACTCCGGCACGTGGTCATAATCCTCCTCCTCCGCAATATCAATCTGCTCTTACCCCCTCCCCACAGCACTCCACTCCACCCCTTATCTATCACTAAACACCATCGACACGGGCGCAGCAATGTCCGCGCTCGTGTACGGATTCACCCCAGTCGACGTCCCGGGAATATACTCGGGCACATGGTCATAATCTTCCTCCTCCTCTGCAATATCCATCAGGTTATCCTCCCGGTCCTCCAAATCGTCATCCGGGAACAGATTCATCACCGGCTCGAGAATCCCGGACGAGGGCTTTAAGAAGTACTTGATTTCCGCGAGGCGGGTGGCGACCTCGGCCATCTCGGGGCGGTCGCGGCCGAGGCGGCGCACGCACATGGCGGTGACGGCTGCCAGCATGTTGAGCGCCTGGCGCGGGTATGCGCCTGTGAGTCGCGGATCCAATATGCTCTCCACCTTTCCTGCCGCTATCTTGGGCGTCGCCTGGGGTGGTAGGGGGAAGATGGGTGGGGAGTGGAGTGGTGGGAGGGAGAAAGGAAGGAGGGGACGGGAGTGAGTCGCGGATCCAATATGCTCTCCACCTTTCCTGCTGCTATCTTGGCCATGGCCTGGGGTGAAAGCAGGAGGGGGTTGGGGAGGGAGAGTGGGAGGAAGGATGGAGGGCGGACGGGAGGGAGATAGTCAGTTGAAACGAGAAGTGGCTACTGAAGGCACCAGTGAGGTGCGGGTCCAATATGCTCTCCACCTTGCCTGCCGCTATCTTGGGTGTCGCCTGGAGGAAGGAGTGGGGAGAGGGAGGGCAGAAGAAGGGAGGGAGTGAGGGCGGAAGGGGGTGTGGACAGCGTAACCACACAACTCACCCATCGCAACAGTGTGACAATGTAGGACTTGCTCTCCACTAACGGATCCTCTGGGATGGCATGTGGGATGCAAGTAAGTACCTCAGGGTTGCGCTTGGAATCCGGGTGCAGTGTTCATGGTTCAGGGTACTCGTGCAAGTTTTGCAACTCACCCATGGTGAGAGCTGTGATTATGTATGACTTGGTGACTTTTGAGTCGACTCAAAAGTCACCTCACCCATGGTGAGAGCCGTGATTATGTATGACTCGTGCTCCACTGATGGGTCTTCCATGATGCCATGCAATGCAATGCAATGCAGGTAGGGGTTCGTGCACAGTGTTCAGGGTTGAGGGTTACAGGAATCAGGGAATGTGACTCACCCAGCGTGAGAGTGTGACCATGTACGACTCGTTCTCCACCGAGGGGTCCTCCATGATGGGCGGGCGGCCTGTGATCAGCTCCAGTAGCACCACTCCGAAACTGGTGGGTGGGGCGACAGGAGAAGAGGGGGTGATCGGCAAAGGAGGAGAACACTCAGACACATGATTTCTAGTGGCATGGCATGGCATGGCACTCGGATGGCATGGGATGCCCACCAGTTGAGGTCTCAGAAGGCACCAGATCCATGTCATGCCATACGTATGCGTGTTACAGAGCCTTCATTTCTCACATGTACACGTCGCTCTTGGTGGTGACCTTGTACGTCTGGCAGTACTCAGGGTCCACATAGCCCGGAGCGGCATGACATGGCATGGCATGGCATGGGATGGGGTGCTGCCCACCACTCGAGCAAAGCAAAGTGACATGGCACGGTGCATGGCGCATGGTGCGTCGGCTCTCACCTGTAAACATCGCTCTTGGTCGTGACCTTGTACGTCTGGTAATACTCGGGGTCCACATAGCCCGGAGTGCCCACCACCCGGGTGTTCATCTCGTCTCCCGGCTTGTTGCTGCCGCTCTTCTTGAACACTCCAAAGTCCGCCACCTTGGCCTGCACGGGAAACGGAAACCAGGGCCGGTTAGGCTCGGTGCTGCTATGCTTCTGAAGCACGCTGAAGTTACCCACCTTGGCCGGCACCTCGGCCTGCACCTTGGTCTGCACTGCGAATTGGCCGGCACCTTGGCCGGCACCTTGGCCGGCACCTTGGCCGGGACCTTGGCCGGCACCTTGGCCGGCACCTTGGCCGGCACCTTGGCCGGCACCTTGGTCTGCACCTTGGTCTGCACCTTGGTCTGCACCTTGGTCTGCACCTTGGTCTGCACCTTGGTCTGCACCTTGGCATGCAGTGAAGCAGGCAGTGGATGCAACGCACCCAACACCCAAGAGTTCCAGCAACCAAACTTCAACACCATGGCATCAGCGCTCACCATCATGTCATTATCCAGCAGAATGTTGCCACACTTGATGTCACGGTGGATGATAGCCGGCTCTGGGGTGATGGAAAGCAGCGCCTACCCAGGCGTTCAACCCAAACCCCCAACACGCCATCAGCTCACCATCATGTCATTATCCAGCAGAATGTTGCCACACTTGATGTCCCGGTGAATGATAGCCGGCTATACGGTGACAGACAGCAGTGCCAACCCCAGAGCCCTGACTTAACAGTTCCAACACCCCATTACTACGCACCATCATGTCATTATCCAGCAGGATGTTATCACACTTGATGCCAAGGTGGATGATAGCCGGCTCTGGGGTGACAGAGAGCAGCACCAATCTTTGAGTTCTAAACCTAACCCTAAAGCACCCCCTCCTCACCATCATGTCGTTATCCAGCAGGATGTTATCACACTTGATGTCCCGGTGAATGATAGCCGGCTCTGCAGCGCTGTGCAGGTACTTAAGGCCCTCTGCCGCCCCCACTGCTATCTCCAGCCGCTGCTCAAACGTCAACGGCCGCTTGGTCGGGTCTGCAGAGAGATGGGGGGGCAGGGTAGGGGGTAAAGTACGGGGTGACCACCACAGCACCCCTAGCACTGCTGGGGCGGATGTGCTGCCTGAGAGTGCCCATTCACCACAAAGTCATACACGAGAATCTGCTCCTCTCCCTTCTCATTGCAGCACACGACTAACCACAAGCTGACCCTCACCTGCAGTCACTGCAGGGCCAGGTGTGAATATCCCTCACCTGCAGTCACTGCAGGGCCAGGTGCGAACATCCCTCACATGGGATCCCAACACTCACTGCTGGGCCGGATGTGCTGCCTGAGAGTGCCGTTAGCCACAAACTCATACACGAGGATGTGCTCGCCCTTCTAATCGCAGCACACAGACTTACCACAACCACACCCTCAAATGCACTCAAAACCACCAGGCTTTTGGCATGAGCGTGAATGACAAGGACTCCCCACCACCAAACCCTCAACTGTGCCCTCATCTGCACTCACTGCTGGGGCGGATGTGACGTTATAAAATATTTGTTCTGAGACGTCTCAAAACACTCACTGCTGGGGCGGATGTGCTGCCTGAGGGTGCCGTTGGCCACAAACTCATAGACAAGGATCTGCTCGCCCTTCTCATCGCAGTAGCCCAGCAGGCGCACCAGATTGCGGTGAGACATCTTGCTGATCACGTCCACCTGAAGAAAGAGGGCATGGGAAGCACCGGGGAAGGTTTGGAAGCAAAGGGGGGTTGTTTTCAGCCCTTCTCATCGCAGTAGCCCAGCAGTCGCACCAAGTTGGTTTTTGAGGCGCCTTAAAAACCACCTCAATGCAAAGGGGGGTTGTTTTCAGCCCTTCTCATCGCAGTAGCCCAGCAGTCGCACCAAGTTGCGGTGAGACATCTTGCTGATCACATCAACCTGCGTGCATTAAAATGGCGGGAAAGAGGGAAGAGGGGAAGGGAGGGTTGCAGTTCAGCCCTTCTCCTCGCAGTACCTCAGCCCACCCATGCACGGAAGGGAGAGAAGAGGGTTGCAGTTCACACCCATCCACGCCCTCACCTCGTCCTGGAAGTCCTCAATGCCCTCTTCGCTGGCGTTCTTGGTGCCACCCTCAATCCACCCACACTTACCCACCCTGCTAAACCCACACCCACACATACAGAACACCCGCATTAACGTACCCACCTGCACACCCCCAAAGCCAACAAAGCCCACCCACACACCCCCACCCGCGCCCTCACCTCGTTCTGAAAGTCCTCTATGCCCTCCTCATTGGCGTTCTTGGCGCGCTTCACAGCCCACAGCGTGCCGCCCGGCGCCACGCCCTTGTAGACGGTGCCGTACCCGCCCGACCCCAGCTCGTTCCCCATGTCCCCCTCCCTCCCACTCACTCCCCTGCGTTGTTTCATGCCCACGCCTACACGCACCCACACACGCACCCGCTCCCACACCCACGGGCCACACTCTCCCCAGCACCCACACACCCCCACCCCCCAAGCCCTCACCTCGTTCTGGAAGTCCTCTATTCCTTCTTCGTTGGCGTTCTTGGCGCGCTTCACAGCCCACAGCGTGCCACCCGGCGCCACGCCCTTGTAGACCGTGCCGTACCCGCCCGACCCCAGCTCGTTCCCCATGTCCCCCTCCCTCCCACTCGCTCCTCCGTGTTCTTTCACACCCACGCCTACACACGCGCACACACGCATCCCCACACGACCACCCTCGCAACCACACCCCTCGCAACACCCACACACCCCCACCCGCGCCCTCACCTCGTTCTGAAAGTCCTCTATGCCCTCCTCATTCGCGTTCTTGGCGCGCTTCACAGCCCACAGCGTGCCGCCTGGCGCCACGCCCTTGTAGACCGTGCCGTACCCGCCCGACCCCAGCTCGTTGTCGCTCGCAAATTTGTCCGTCGCGCGAATCACATCCTCCAAAGCCAGCGCCTTCACGAAGTTCTCCTGCACCTTCAATCCGAAGTCCGACTGGCTGCGCGCCTTGGACTGAGACGCTGACACTGGTGGGGAGGTAAGGGGGGACGGGGAAGAGGAGGGTGAGGATTACTGTTGGTCTTCCTCATGGACTGGCTCTCATCCTTCTTCAGCATCTCCAGTTCCTCCCACGGTTTTCGAACCCTCACTCAAGCCAAGCCACTACCCAACCGCTCTCCCTGCCCCGCCCTTTTCCTCTCAGCACTCACTGCTGTTGGTCTTGCGCATGGATCGGCTCTCATCCTTCTTGAGAGACCCCGGCTCCTCCCCAGGGAATCAACTTTACCATCTGAGGCTCAAGGCATTCTTCCTTGCTGCCCAATACCCAACCGCTCTCCCACACCCGCCCTCCCCCCTCTCAGCACTCACTGCTGCTGGTCTTCCGCATGGACCGGCTCTCGTCCTTCTTGAGCGACCCAGGCTCCTCGCCATTCTCCTTCCCCTTCTCCTCCTCCTCCTGCTTCTCCTTCTCCTCCTTCTCCTTGCGCTGCTCCTCCTCCAGCGCCTTCTGCCGCAGCAGCAGCTCCCGTGCCAGCTTGGCGCGGTACCATGAGAACCCAGCGGCTGCCAGCGCAGCACCGGTGAAGATGATCGCCAGCACGATGAGCAGAATGGTCCACCACTTGGGCTCGCTGCTGCTGCTGCTGCTGCTGCTCGTGGTGTTGTTGGCTGGGGGTGCGGAGGGGGAGGGACAGAAGGGAAGGGAGAGAAGGCAAACATGATTGCCAGCACGATGAGGAGAATGGTCCACCACTTGGGCTCGCTGCTGCTGCTGCTGCTGCTCGTGGTGTTGTTGGCTGGGGGTGCGGAGGGGGAGGGACAGAAGGGAAGGGAGAGAAGGCAAACATGATCGCCAGCACGATGAGGAGAATGGTCCACCACTTGGGCTCGCTGCTGCTGCTGCTGCTGCTGCTCGTGGTGTTGTTGGCTGGGGGTGCGGAGGGGGAGGGACAGAAGGGAAGGGAGAGAAGGCAAACATGATCGCCAGCACGATGAGGAGAATGGTCCACCACTTGGGCTCGCTGCTGCTGCTGCTGCTGCTGCTGCTGCTGCTCGTGGTGTTATTGGCTGAATCTGGAAAAAGAGGGGAGAGAGGGGGTGGGATGGAAGGGGAAAAGGAGGGAAGAGGGTTGGGATTGAGTGCACTACCAGCAGCTCCTCCTGCTTCTCCTTCTCCTCCTTCTCCTTGCGCTGTTCCTCCTCCAGAGCCTTCTGCCGCAGCAGCAGCTCCCGTGCCAGCTTGGCGCGGTACCATGAGAACCCAGCGGCTGCCAGCGCAGCACCGGTGAAGATGATCGCCAGCACGATGAGCAGAATGGTCCACCACTTGGGCTCGCTGCTGCTGCTGCTGCTGCTGCTCGTGGTGTTGTTGGCTGGTGAGGCCAGGAAGTGGGGGGACAATGTGGGCGGGATGGAAGGGAGTAGGGAGGGGTGGTGGGGGAGTGGGGTGGGGATGGAGGGGTAGGGTGAAAGGTTGGTGGTGGAGGTCGTACTGAGGGAGGTGCGATGTGATGGAGGGTGTGGCAGCGGAAGGCACTTTGGGATGAGAGAGCGTACCTGCTGAGGGAGTTGGGATGTGGTGGAGGACGTAGCTGAGGGAGGTTTTTTGTGGTGGAGGTCGTAAGAAAGGGAGGTGAGGGAGGTAAATGTGGTGGAGGTCGTTACCGAGGGGGGTGGGATGTGGTGGAGGGCGTACCTTGGGGAGCAGTCGGCGAGGCGAGCAGCAGAGGCGGAATGGGCTGCCCTGGCGGGTAATCTGCCAGGGACCACGTGGGAAGGCAGTGGGGATGTCAGCGGGTGCGGCAGCAGTAACGGGCGAGGCAGCAGAAACGGGTGAGACTGCAGTAACAGGCGAGGCCGCGAAACCAGCAAGAACAGAGCGCAGTCACCGTGCAGGGGGCAATTTGGGTCGACTCAAAAAGCTGTTTGCTTCGTTCGGCTCAAGTTTGGGTTCAAGCAAAACGCAACTGCCCCCCCATCACTCACACATGCTGGGAGCAGTGGCGACGTTGGAGGGAGTGCCAGCCGCAGCGGTCAAGAGAGCAGCGGAGGCGAACTCAGGGGCGGCGAAGGCGGAGTTGTTGCGCAGGCGGTTCACCATCTCCGCCACGTCAACACCGCTCCACGCCAGCGTGTCGTTGCGGAACACGAGGAACGTGGCGGTGTCAGACGTGTCGGCGCTGTTCACGCCAAAGAGGGTCACCTGGCGGTGAGATGGCGAGGGGATGAGCGAGGACAGATTCAATCTCGAGATGTTTGTTTCTATGCTCGTTGCGGAACACGAGGAACGTGGCGGTGTCAGACGTGTCGGCGCTGTTCACGCCAAAGAGGGTCACATGGCGGTGAAAAAGGGAGAGTGAGAGAGGGGAAAACCAATCTGAGATGTTTCAACGCTCATTGTTGAGCACGAGGAGCGTGGTGGTGTCAGAAGTGCGCTCCTCGTTAGAAGTGCGCTCCTCGTTAGAAGTGCGCTCCTCGTTAGAAGTGCGCTGGAGAGGTTTGGCTAAAGAGGAGAAAACCGACGGCTGGAAAGATTTCGCTAAAGAAGAAATGAGGGAAAGAAGTGCCCGATACCTGATCGTTGGAGAGGCCTAGAACGGATTCGACGTGAGAATTGAGCGAGTCCGCAACGGACGGCGTGATTCGCGGATTGCCGAGCTGATCGGACGGCGAGGAGAGTTCGAGCATGACAATCACGGGCGGGCAGCACGCGCAAGCGGTGGACGCCTTGTACACGTAAGGGTTGGGGTACGTGGTGCCATTGCAGGCCGGGACGGCCACGCACGCAGACATATACTCGTACGGCGCCTCCGGACCTGCACCCCCCCCTCTTCCGAACCCCGCCCGCGAGACTGCGGCGGATGATAGAGATGATAATGAGAGCGCCGAGGAGGTGGGGGAGGAGGAGGCGATAGCATCGGCTATCGGATCGTTGCCTAATTCTGCTGCTGCCGATGACAGCCGTCGATGCCCTGTCAGTGCGGAGGCACGTACAGGAAGGGGTGGGGGTAAGGGAGCGGAGGGGACGGGGGGGGGGGGGGGGGGGGGGGGGGGTGGGTGGGGAGGGGGAAAGGGGGAGGGACAGGGGAAGAGGGGGGAAAGGGGAAGGGGGAGAGGTGAGGTGGATGGGGATGGGAGGGGTGCAAACGCGGGTTCAGGCGCGTCAACAGTGAGAGGAGGAACAAGACGACATTGGACAGGCAAGCGGGGAGACGAGAGGAACCGGGATTGGGAATAGGGAACGGGGAAAAATGGATCGGAGAATGGCGAGAAACGGTAAAGGGGACTGGGAGATAGGGAAGGGGATGAAAGAAAGTATAGCAGTAGACCGACGAGCGGCGAGTCGAGGGTACAGAGGACTGTAGCGAATGTTCTTCTATCGCGATAAACTGACAAGGTCTTTAGGGTTGAAAGCCGAACATTCTGACTCTCAAGTAGGTTTCCTGCATACAGGCACACTGCAGGACGTACAGTTTCCTCCCGCATACAGGCACACTGCAGGACGTACAGTTTCCTCCAAGGACTTGAGCGCGCAGCGGGAACGCTTCTATCGAATCGGAAGTTCCATGTGGTCGTCCTCCGGCTGCCACGTGTGCGAAGGCTAGCAGCACGATTATCAATGCCGAGCAGCTACTGCTACTGCTCCAGCTGTTGCCGCTGCTGTTGCTGCTGCTGTCGCTGCTGCTGCTGCTGCTGCTGCTGCTGCTGCTGCTGTTGCTGCTGTTGCTGCTGTTGCTCCATCGGTATGTGAACGAGCGACTGAGACTACTGCAGCGGGCCATTGTCTGACATGATAATTGAGCCGTTGAATCGCGTGATCGTTGTCTTGATGCTACCTTTGATCTTAATCTATTTCTTCGCAACCATAAATGCGACGCCATGTAAGCCTTTACAGGCTGCTTCCGTTATAGACTAATCCGAAATAAAAACAGTCCCTGCCCTAATTACGAGATGAAGCGCTGACAACAAGGTGGACCCTAAACAGCCATGATTGCGTTTATCTATTCAAAACTCTCAAAAGGTCTGGCGGGCGGCGGGTCAAAGCAATTGGCAAAAAAAAACTCCTGAAATCATAGCGGATCATCCATGATAACTTATGTCGATCGTATCTCTAACAATGGCTGCGTCGGTAAGTTGCTTCTTGCCAGACCACGACGACAGCCAATCTGTTGTCTCGTGTCTGCGTTGTAGCTACACTAAGTACGCCGATTCTGCCCGTCGTAATGGCAGTCAGTTACGTCACGTTTATGCCACCTTCCGTTATTGCGCTGTCCTCAAGGGCGTGACAGCTGTGCTTGCGACAGAGACGGGTGAAGGAGAGGAGGCAAGGCTATGAGCTCTCGTAAGGCGGATACCCTCTAGTGCCTAGGGAGTTGTGGTTGAGGAAGAGAGGGGGGAAGAGAAGAGGTGCGCGGTTGGCGCGAGGAGTTGCGCGTCATTTGATTGCCTAGCAGGTGGCTCGGTTATTGCCGAAACAATCCCAGGGATTGTCGGGCGAGCATACCTCGGCTTTCAGGCTCGGGTTTGGTTTGGGTACGAGGAGGGAAAGCAGTGAGAGGCTGGGCTGTCAGGCACGGAGCGGACCAAGGTCTCATCTCAGGTTGACCTACCATGTGGCGTATTCGGGCAGCTTGTGCTGGGGTGATGCCCGAAGGAGTACTCTGATTGGCTGGGATGGGGGCCAGACAACTTACACGTAACGCCTCCACAACGCAGGTTTGGGAATCGTGCATACCATGCCTGATGGTGGTCGTTTGGTTTGGAGAAAGAAGTGGGGTGCTCGAAATGGACAGCATCGAAGCTATCTCAATGCACCCCATCGCACCTACATTAATCAACACAAACCGATGCCAATAACGATATCATTGACACAAGGTTGCCTCAGGCATGTAGTTCACACTAAGGGTGATACTAGGTACAAAGTTAACCTTAAACATAATCTACTATATGTAAAAAGTACTGTAACATTTGTGCATATTGCCACTCCATCGCTCTCAAATCAAGGTGTCGTTGCCAAAATTATGTTGTATGGTCAATCAGATTGTGACTGTTGTCATCTCTACCTTACGGACGACTTCGAATGTTGCACTCCTGTCATTGTCTCGCTGGTCCATATTCGTACGATACGTATCATTACTGTCACGATATAATCACATTCACGGGTTATGATCATGTATACATACCAAACTAAGGGAAATAAGTAGTATGATACCCAAAACATTATTCATATATGTCCCATGGAGAGCGGCTATGGCCCTGTCGGGCCCGCTGGCCCCGTCCCAACCCCTTGTCGCCCTTATCACGCGGCCTCCCGCGGCCAACTGTGGGACGGTGGCGGCGACCATCGCGGCAAGCTATGCGCAGGTCATCGTGGCCCCGTTTTGCCTCCTTGCGACCGCCTCTACCACCTCTCCGTCGCATTGTTGTGGCCCCTCGCACCTGCAGTGCCAGCCGCTGCTCTCCTGCCGCGTTTGCCACTATGGGGGAGAGGCTGAAAGGGGGTGGCGGCGGTGATGACGGCCGTGGTGGATGAAGCCCCAACTCTGTCAAACATATGTTTATATCATATTTGTGGGTAGCCTGTAGTGGGGTAGATTATGTGGTGTCAGATTTATATGACAGAGCTACTGTAGGCTATAGTGGGGTAGCACATATGGGGTACAGTTTTCTAGGGTTTGTATTTGTACCCAACTTTCCCTTAGTCATTCATTCCTGTTTTCTTAATTCACATGGTATAGAGCGGGTTCCTACATGGGACCGTTCCTTCCTAAGGGCCCACCATAACGATTTTTTTTTTAGCTGACCGACGCGCATTGCGCCCCTGCCCTAAATTTTTTTAGCGCCCCCCCCCCCCCCCTAGCGGCCCCTACGCGACCCCTACGCGGCCCCAACGCGGCCCCTGACGTGGCCCCTATGCGGCCCCTGATGCGGCCCCAACGCGGCCCCTGACGCGGCCCCAACGCGGCCCCTGACGCGGCCCCTACGCAGCCCCTGACGCGGCCCCTGCCGCGGCCCCTGACGCGGCCCCTACGCGGCCCCTACGCTGCCCCTGAGGCGGCCCCTGACGCGGCCCCTGACGCGGCCCCTCCGCCACCACTACCACGGCCCCTACGCCGCCCCTGACGCGGCCCCTGCCGCGGCCCCTGACGAGGCCCCTGACGCGGCCCCTGACGCGGCCCCTGCCGCGGCCCCTGACGAGGCCCCTGACGCGGCCCCTGACGCGGCCCCTACGCCGCCCCTGACGCGGCCCCTGACGCGGCCCCTGATGCGGCCCCTGACGCGGCCCCTGACGCGGCCCCTGCCGCGGCCCCTGCCGCGGCCCCTGACGCGGCCCCTGACGCGGCCCCTTCGCCGCCCCTGCCGCGGCCCCTACGCCGCCCCTGACGCGGCCCTCTCCTGCATCTGACGCGGCCCCTAGCGGCCGGCCGCTGCCGTCCCTGAGGCAGCAGCCGCCGCCGTCTCTGCAGCAGCAGTCGCAGCCGAACGGCCGAGCCGCCGAGCCGCCGAGCCGCCCAGCAGCCGAGCCGCCCAGCCGCCGAACCGCCCAGCAGCCGAGCCGCCCAGCAGCCGAGCCACCGAGCCGCCCAGCAGCCGAGCCGCCGAGCCGCCCAGCAACCGAGCCGCCGAGCCGCCGAGCCGCCCAGCAGCCGAGCCGCCGAGCCGCCCTGCAGCCGAGCCACCCGAGCCGCCCTGTCCGGTAAGAGCAGCGCCCCTTTCACAGCACTGCCCTCACCCTACTGTTTGCGCTGCTAGTCTACTACTGTCATGGCTACCCCTAGTGTCCTCGCTTTTGACGCTGAGGGTCGGGCCATTGACTTTGATGTCTGGATAGATGACCTGCAGCTTTTCTTACAGTGCGACAGGGCAGACGGCCTCTCCCTCTTTGACCTCACTTCTGGTGCCTCTCCTGCCCCCGCTGCTGATGCTGACGCCACTGTTCGCTCACAGTGGGCCACGCGCGATGCTGCTGCACGTCTTGCTGTGCGTCGCCACCTGCCTACCTCTGAGCGTGCGCACTTTAGCCAGTACAAGAGTGCTCAGACCTTGTACGACGCTGTAGTTGCGCGCTACTCCTCCCCTGCCACTGCTGCACTGAGCCGCCTCATGCTACCGTACCTCTTCCCTGACCTTGCTGCCTTTCCCACAGTCGCTGACCTCATTACGCACCTCCGCACTAGTGACACTCGCTACCGCGCTGCGCTTCCTGCTGAGTTCTGCGCCAAGAACCCCCCCCCCATGTACATCACCCTCTACTACATAGTCGCCCGGCTCCCTGACTCCCTTCGCGTAGTCAGGGACCACTTCCTCTCAGTTTGCCCCACCACTCTCACCGTTGACCTCCTCGAGAAGTCCCTCCTAGCAGCAGAGAAGAGCATAGTCGCTGTAGGAGCCTCTCGTGGTGACCCTCGCACCCCCATCTTTGAGGGGTGTTCCCCCTCCCCCCTTTTGCCCTCTGTTGCCTCTGCTGCTGCGGCCGACCTCGTTGGGCTTGAGTCGGTCGGTGCGGCGTCTACCCCTAGCGGGAGACGTCGCCCTGGCAAGGGCAAGGGGGGCAGGGGCACTGGAGGAGCTAGCGGGGGCGGTGGAGGCGGAGGTGGAGGCGGTGGAGGGGGTGGGGGTGGCGGTGGGGGTGGTGGCGGGGGTGGAGGTGTCGGTGGCGGCAGTGGAGGCGGAGGCGGAGGCGGCGGTGGCGGTGGGAGCGGAGGTGGCGGCGGTGGAGGAGGAGGCGGCGGAGGAGGTGGAGCTGGTCGGGGTGGCGCTGCCCAGAGGGTCGGCTCCAGTGGTGGTCAGCG